AAACAAAGATATGCACGTTGTCCACACGATTTCGTTCGATGAGTTGGTGTGACGTCAACTTCCAATTTCGTTACTATTCCCATTTTCTTTAAATGTCTGTGCACAATTGACGACGGAATATTTAGACATTTCTTGCTAGAAAGTCTAAATATTTCAGATAATACTTTCGATATTTCTTGAATCAATAGTCTCTCTCGATCCATAAATTTCGAACCATATCGTTCAAATGGACGAACACATGAGATGAGCTTAACGTTAGACGAAACTTGTGTGTAAATGTGACTCTTAAATAAGTAACTTCACTTTCACAAGATATGTTATTAAATTCTAAAATTCGAACGTTTGCGAGGGAATACTAAAACGATTTAGAATTTTCGACACTTCTTTTCGAACCGAGGATCGTATCATCGTACATCTCGGGATGACCCAGTGCAAAGTGATCTTTCTCCGTCAGAACTGGAAATTTCGTAATTTTCAGATGCGATCCGGATAGAAACGATGAAGAAACGCGGCAACCATGAGGCCAAAGCTGGCAAGGGACGACAGAACGAAACGAGCAACGCGGACGACAAGAAGAATGAAGAGAAGGATGACGTGCGTTTGAACGACCTGGAAAACCAAGGGTTCAGCGAGTGGCTCCGATCTAGCAACGGCCTCGAAATGATGCGGCTGTTCGTCATCGCCAATTCGATTCTGATCTTCGTCACGATGGGATTCCCGAAAATGCAGGAGGCTTACGGTGTCCTCAAGGACTACTATTTCGGAGAAACGGAGTAAACGAAAACTTTGAAAATTCGAAAGAAACTCGGACGAGGTTCGACCTCGTGCCGCTGAGAGGTTAACGACGAGCGAAGATCGATATTACCCAATCCTGTGTTTCCTCGAAACAACTCGACGTTCGTAACTCATGCATGCTTCGCAAATTATCCTTCCTCGCTTCCTGAACGTGAACCCTAGACCCTGCATTGGCGCAACGCGTAACACGATTCGACATCAAATAGGGTAACGATATACAGAAATATTTATTTCATCGTGTTGTCTCGTAACGCGGTATCGAGTATCGACGAGTATCGATTCTCTAGGTCGCAAAGTCCAATCACGAACGTTCTATCGCGAATTTTAATACACGTCGATTCATTAATTGAAATTCGCGGCTGATCATGCTGGGACTGATAGTTCGCGGCCTGTTTCTCGTCGGTATACTCACCTGGTACAGCACCAGCGTGTGGAAAATGATCGACGGCTACTTCAGGGATCAATTCCGCAGCTACCTGGAGGAGGAGTATCGAAAGAATCCGCGAATGAGATCGGACGTGCAGAGTGGCTCGGCCGATAAGAGCGATCACTCGCTTACCGACGCGGCGCGAACCGACTCGACGACAGAGCCACCGCGAGAGATCCTCGAAGCTGTGGAGACTGCTGCACGCGCGGTCGAGACTGCAGAGAACGATTCCGTGATGGGGACGAGCGACGAGATGCGAATGACAGGTGGCACCAGTGAAAACGAGGCCGCCGCAGGGGGATCCGCCGATAAAAATGCATTCCTGGGAACTGTCGCGGAATCGGAGCTCGCGGAAAGGAGGAAGCTGCCCGAGAGCGGGCAAGAGGATTCCCGGCAGCCTGTTAATCACGACGACCGTGACCTCGAACGCCGCGACGAGAACGAGCGTGGTCGTCGATCAGTCTCCCAGGCGTCTAAGGGCACAGCCAAAGGAACGAAACGCGGCAGGAGGCTGTCCGTCCCTAGGGACATTTCACGCGAGGGCCCAGAACTGCCCAAAAGGCGGAACGTGAGAACGGTGACGTTCACCGAGAGGGATTTCAAGTCGGTGATCAGGGACTACGTTTCCAATGACGATTTCTGGGAGTTCGAGGAGGACGCGGACAAGAAGGAACCGCTGGAGGGCATTTTGGTGTCCGAGCTGCCGTTCAAGCCCAGAGCGGACATAGGGGATTTGGACAGGGTCACCGCCGACGAATACTGTCCCTTGAGCTTGGAGGACGAAGCTTCCTGCGACGAGACGTTCAAGTGGCCTTGAAAAACTCTAACGCCGATCAATTTTAGTATAGTAGAATATTAAAAAATTTAGCGAAAAGAAGATCGGTCGTCTCGCGAGGCCCGATGTTGAGGACGGTGATTTCAAAGGGATCGGTTTCCATCCAGAGTCTTTAATTTTGTTAATTGAACGGCAGCTGTGACAATATTACGTCTTCGATATTTACGTAAGCATTGGGTCTTGTGACTGAGTTGTTGAAAATAAAAATATACTTTCTTTGAATTCTGTGAATGCCTCTTACTTGCATGCTAGACTGCGGATTTTTGTGAAAAATATGAAACAAAAAAAAAAAAAAACAGAAGTTTGTTTCCAACAAGTATCTTACTTTCGATATTTTATGCATTCTCATGTAGCACGTATGAATTGTATGTTCAATCTTCCTATAAATATATAGAAATCTACAGTCTACTAATTACCTAACATCACGTCACATTTTCGATGAAAATCTGGCAAAAACTACGATAGTTCAAACAACTTTTGCCGTTCGTCGAAACAAAAACAGCAAAAATTCACGAAACTTTTTCCTCCTTGGTACTACTTTTTCCCGTAATCTTTAAAAATCGCCCGGCAAATAAAAAATACAAGCATAATAGGTCGACTTTTTGCTCGGCAGGAGGTTGCAAAATGCACCCCGTCACTTCAAGTGCAATCTCCCCGCGAACAAACTTTTCAAGCTTTACGGCGAAAGAAATTGCTCTCTCCCGAACTTTGACGCGATAAACGATTCCCCTCCCACCCCCTCCGGCGATCAATCACGCGCTATGACGGCTATGAAGAAAAGAGAACGATCATCTAGGTCAATGTTAACCGCTGCGAGTTTCCCGCGTCGCGTCGACGCGCGGTTCAATGGTTCGAGGAGAAGAGCAAAAATCGGAGAAGACCTAAAGAGGAGGATAATCAGGTTAATGCGAACCGATTAAATCACAGTAAGAAGAAAAACCGTATCGTCGCGCAGGCAAGAAAGAATTGCGAACGCGTGATCGAGGCTTCTTTGATAACTCGATTGCCTTCTGTAACGGGGAAGACTGAATAGAAAGTAAATATAAAAAGATCGAGTGCGCAGGAGAAGCATGGGAGAATAAATAGTGTGCGCAGAAGGCCTAATTTTCTTACAGAGTTGAGTTGCAAGGTGCATGAAATAAGAAGAGACAAAACTGCCGAGAAAAAGAGAAATACTCTAGTTTACTGATTTTACTATTATACAGGGTGGTCCGTTTAAAACCACTCGAGCATCTTTTCGAATTGTTTCTTTTCATATAACTATACATTTTTGTTTTATTTCGTCGTGTAGCTGATGAAATATATAGGTATTCAGGTATGTAAAAAATATGATTTGGAAAATTTAAGTTTCACGTATAAATTTATATCTCTATCGGGATCTCAGACGCGAAAGCCTCATGATAAATGTAAATAAAAATGTTCACTATCTATCAGTCCTGATCAGTGTACCAATACGAAATTTGTCACAATGGAACAACAATAATTCGCGCTCTTTTCGTTAGTGCTTCAAGTCTGAGCAAAACGTGGAACTATGTTCTCAGTCTT